TAGGTGGAGGTGATGACGTCGCCATGACGTTTGCTTCAAACAGCCCATCCAATTTGTGCAAATTATTAAGACGCAGATACTCCAGGGTTTGGACGACTGGGTTGTTTATCCACGAGGAAAGAATGCACTCCATGCCATCACAATTCTCTATCACACATCTCCTCAAATCTGTTGCATCTTTGATTACAGAAAAATCATTCAAGCTTCTTATGTCGTGGCAACTGTCAATACACAATACTTGTACGGAAGGGATTAACATATTCTCTCCAACAATACTAGTTTTATTGAACACCATTATTTTCTCATATCTTGGTAACTCTACTGTAGCCGCATAATTGCCATAAATCCCTTCCCAGTTGCTTCCAACAATAATAAAATAGGTACTCAACCTATTAGGCTGACATTTGAGAAAGATTCTCATGTCATTCGCAGTGGGGAAACAGCCATAAAAAACTTCCAACTTCTTCAATCTCCCAACCACATCCCCCTTCAATTTTATTCTGCTCCTATTTACAATTAACTCCTGAAGTTTGGAGAGATTTGATAGTACTCCATCTGCTATTTCATATATTTTAGATGCACCAAGAAAAAGACATTTCAAATTCTTCAACATTCCCAGGCCTTCAGGGACTTCTTGGATATTTGTGTCCCCAAGGTCCAACTTTTTCAAGGATCCAAGGCCTGATAAAGATGGTACCTTTTCTAGGGCTGTTGATGCCAACAACAATGTAGTAAGCTTCACCAATTTGGAGACTGAATTTGGCAGACTCCATAGCTTGTAATTGAAGGACAGATCTAGAATTTTTAGCTCTGGCATGTGCTCAAAGACAGATTCTGGAATTGTTAACAAATTGTTATGGGCCAGCAGCAAGGTTGTTAGCCTTGTGCACGTTGAAGATGCCATGCTTGATGGAATATCTTCTATCTGATTAAACATTACTGAAACCTTTTCAACATCTTCTGTACATTTTACCTTCTCTGGTAGCTCTGTCAATGACTTGCCAGCTACAACCAAGAACCGAGGACTCGTTCTTGTAATGTCCAATGCCATGTCCCTGATAAGATCATGCATCCTTACACAATCTCCTCTATAATCTTTAATGAATTCCAACAAGCTATTGTCTTCAAGCTTCCTCAAAATATCATAACCCTCATCCTTCATTTCATGCCGAGTTTCCATTTCATCTATAAACCCCTCATCAATCCAACGTTCAGTTATTTCCTTCTTCGGAATATTGTGATCCTCAGGATATAGTGCACAATATAAGAAACAATATTGGATCTGAGAGTTTTTCAAACGATCATAACTGAACTTCAATATCTTAAATGCATCATTATCTGTACCTGCTACATTTCTTTTGCAATCTTGCAGTTGATTTAGTGCAGCATTCCACAACCGTGGCTCGGATATTTCTTTTAAGCTACCAGCAACTGTAACAATTGCCAATGGAAGACCGTCACATTGAGCCACAATCTTCTTCAAAGTTGATTCTAAGTCCTTTTTAAGGCCTCCTCCTGGACATGATAAAGCAGTACCTCCAACTTTATTTAAAAACAATTTTAAAGCTTCATCTTCTGAAAGAGTCTTCACTTGGATTCTTCTACAATCCATTGAACGAGCAACCTCTTGTGACCGTGTAGTCAATACCACCTTGCAGCCATTAGTTACATTTGGCTCAGGAATTCCAACATCTTCAAGTTTGAAACTACTCCACACATCATCAAGAATCAACAAGTAAGGCTTGTGTGTTTCTAGCATCTTTGATAATGTTGCTGCACGTTTAATTGTATTTTGACGCTCTTGTAGGTTTTCCTTCAAGCTGCTGGCAATTTGTTCTTGCAAGTTGTAGATATCAAAGTTTTGTGACACAGTCACCCAAATTACTTCATTGAATTTATCTTCTTTCAGCAGTTCATTGTGGACATGCATCATAATTGTTGTTTTCCCGACTCCCCCCATCCCCCACACCCCAAGCTTTGTCACCTCTTCTCCCTTCAAGCATGCCAAAATATTTGCTTTAACACCCTCACTGCCTTGTAACTCTGGTGTTGGCAATTCAACTAGTGAAGCTGATAGATCATCATTGACCAAACAGTCTGGCAATCGACTTCCTTCTTCATATATTTTCTCCATTTCTTGAATCTTTTCTCTAAGAAGCACTGCTGTTGGATCAGAAGCATGTGAGAGATAGCCGCCTTTATCCACTTTATCTTCAATATCTTTGGCAATGGAGCCAATTATCTTTGCCACTTTTTCCCGCCAATGTTTGACTTCCTCCTTCTCAATTTTCCCATGGACAAGTTGTGAATGCAATGTTGACCCAATATCTCCCTGTTTGCGCTGCAGCTTCTCTTTCAATTCTTTAAAATTCTTCACATCATAATTGAGTTTCCTGGACTGATCTTCAATGACCAAACAGTCCCTAGTGTAGTTATCCCCTCGATCATATATTTTCTTCAATTCCTGTGTTCTTCCCTCTAGAATCACTGCTCGACAACAGCAAGAGAGACAACCCCAACTGTTCACTTCATCTTCGACATCCTGTCTTGCAATAAACTTATCCGCATCTTTCAGCCATTCTTGCACTTCCGCCTTTGCAACATGGTAAGCTGTAGATTGAAGCTGTGTCTCTAGTCTTGATTCAATTTCAAGCTTTCGATTGGACAAGCCTTCTTTGCTTTCCTTGAATTTTTTCAAATAGCCATTGAATTTTATCTGATATTTCAGATATCTCACAATTGGACCACCAACAAGCTTCACAATTTCAATAATTGGCTCTACCAAGTCCATTGTACAATCACTGCATCATAGTATATATTCACATAAAGATGTGATTTGAAAATACTGGTTTGCATGTAAAGGCATTCTTATCATGCATTCTAAAAGGAATTTTTGGAGTATCAAAAAAATACTTAAAGAGTAGTCATTCTATTGAATTAAACATAACCCTTTAAGTATTCTTATATTCTTGAAGTATTTTTTTGATAGAAACCAAAATGCAACAAAGCTATATGCATATGGATTCAAAGAATGAGACATCAATCAAATGAAACGTAGGGAGTAGAACTTTGAACTTCAAGTAACTAGTGGATATAAACTAAAAAAAGGGGGGGGGGGGGGGATTCTATTATATGCATTTGGATTCAAAGAAAGAGACAAATCAATTTTATGTGGTTAATTGAAAGAAGAAAATATGCCTTGCTTAAATTGATGGTGTTTTCTTCAAATGACGAGAAAGGATCGACCAATATGCTTGACAAAAAGGCTTCTCCACAAGCTGCATGTAAAGTAGAAACCAAAATGTAACAAAGTTAAAAGGAAGAAAATCACTATGCATTCTAGGAGAAGAAGAGTGTATATAAACCAAAGAAAAGATTATGCTACTATATATTAAAGTTATGAAAATTAAGATAAAAAAATATAAATTTCAAAGTATAATGAAAAGATCATGCTACTAGTTATTAAAGTTTAATGAAATGATTATAGTACTAGATTATACTCATTAAAGTATCAAACAAATCTAGCTTTGAGGGAAGAAAAACGAATGTGAAAGAACATACATTTACGAATTAAGAACTATATATACCTGCCACCTGAAAATTGTGCTTCTTTAATTCGAGAGTTTTTGAGAATATTGAAAATGTAGATTGCAAAATCTGATGTAGATTTCACCAAACTGATGGAATCTGCAAAAAAAGATACAATGTGAAGATCAGGTTTTCATAGAGCAAGAGTAAGAACAAGACAAGAAAGTAGCAGATTATCAATTGCATTAGAGGCTTTTTTGAAACAGAAATCTGGAGTTTGTTTCAAAGAAGGGACTAGAACACCACTATTTCCATAAAATGATGAAGATAAGGAATATGAATGTGGTCAGGGAATTGTTGAAACATCTGTATACTTAAGTGTAATAATGCATAAATGGAAAGAAAAAAATTCTACAACCCAGAATCAGCAGCAAAGTTAGAAGGTTTTGGGAGGAGTTTTTGCAAGCTAAGGCTACATTAGATAAGTTTTAGCATTTTCTTAACTTAGACTTAAGAAAACTACATTATCACAGTACAGCAAAGAAAAGTTTAAGTGCAGAATTTAGAGACATGAAATGGTATTTATGTGCATGCAATATAGAAACTTACCTTGGATTTTTTATCTCCCTTTGTTTGCTAGAACCTTGTGAAAGATGATTTTCTTATTGAAAATCTGCAAAAAGTGAAAGCATGTAGCTGCATTAGTTGTACAGGTACATTTATCTTGCTTATTTTCTGAATGTGTGAACTGAACTAAGAATGAATTAATGCACATACATGTGAAAGAATGAATCATAATTCATGTTGCATGAGAATCTATGGTATGATACCTAAGCTATATGCTAGGTAAGAACTCCCAAAGGACTTGGAGTAAGTTAAAAGAAAGATGCTAGATCCTCTGCACGATAGGAAGAACCATTGCTAGTCCATTGATATGGTGGATGTACACCCACAAGGAAAAATCCATATATAGGAATTTGCATTCATTTAAATGTACACAATAAACATAAATTTATCTTGCTGACTGTTTTAGGAGACATGAATTATATGCTCATGTTTGGGTAATACCCTTGATCTAACTGTTCAGTGTTTGAAAAATAACATCTGATGGAATTAGTTATGCTTTGGTAGCGACAGAGATTTTGTTTTCTAATTATCTTCAGAATATGGCTTGGGTTAGCTTCCACTTTTGAAAGTTAATTTAATTGTTTATGCTAAACTTACTGGGCTTTGCAGCTCATGGAATTTTCATTCTGTTGTTGTTACATATTGAACTAACTAAAGGTAGCATACTTATTTTGGGAGCCTAGGAAGAATCTACCAGTCCAAGTGTAGGCCTAGAGCCAACATTGGTAAGACAAATTTGTACTCTGCTCAACTCCTAGTCCTCACTCTCTGATTTTGTGCTTGAACTTATGAACTTTTTGGCGTTATGAAATACAAGGGCAGTTGTAAGAAAACCTTAGGTTTTGTTATGTAAGCTTTGTAAAAGAACTTGGAAAATATGTACATAAAGAAAGGACTGGACTATTATATTTCTTTGGTTATATTTTGAACTATATAATTATAAGTGTTTGCTGTCAACGTTGTTAGTTTTTGGAGTTAGAACTTGCACCACCTTTCCTAGTCCAAGATTCCTAGATTCATGCATCCTTTTATAACTTGGTCTCAAAGGTGGCTATTACTTTCTTAGTTTTACTGAAAACAGGACAAGGTGCAGTTCAATTTTTGCTCAAAGGTTTATATGTTTGTCTTTACAAATCTTGTAAAGTTTTTCAGTTCATTAGCTGGAATGCAACTTTCCATGCATCAGAAATGTTCTAAGTTCTGTAATTAGCCATAAAATGTATTCAGCAGTTACCTGATATTTGAAACATTTTCAAATTTGAACTTCAAGCTCTATTTGTAGTTGGTTTACCCGTTTTAGGATGTAACAAACAATGGTATCAAAGCCAATGGTTTTGGTAGGAGTCAAGTTTGTCTTGAAAGATGCTATACTATAGGTGTATATAGTAAACTAATTGATTATGGAATATATGTTTTCCATGTTTAAATGTATGTCAGCATAAAGGAAAAATGGTTGAAGAACAGACACATGTTGGTGGCCCTACAGGTGGTAATGGTGGCCAGAATTCTGGGTCTGGTAGAGACAATGGAATTTCAATGGATGTGTTGCAGACTATAGTGCAGCAAACTAGGCAACAGACCTTCTAGAATATAAATTAGCAACAAAACACACAAGGAAAAACCAAAATTGAAGAAGTTCCAGTTCAAGTGGAAGTTGAACAGATAGAGGATGATCCAAAATATCAAGCTAAGATGAAATTGAGTAAAGCAATTTCAGAAATGGAATCCACCCACTTTTAAAGGAAATCAGTATACCAGAATTGCTGATGAATGGGTGAAGAATTTGAAGCAAATTTCTCGACTAATGAAATGTGGAGATCAACATAAAGTTCACTTGGTTATTTTCATGTTGAGAGGTGAAGCCAGGAATTGGTGGGAGCCTATTCAGGATGGTTATAACAGGAGAAGAGAGGTGATTACTTTGATAAGCTTCAGTAAAAATCTACATGAAACCTGCTTTTCTCAAACCGCCCTCAATAGGAAGGAAGAAGAGCTGAATAGTCTGACTCAAGGAAAGATGACCGTGGACCAGTATCAGGCCAGATTCAGTGATTTGATATAATTTGTTCGCCATAAAACTACAAATGAGATAGCTAAGGTGAGGAAATTTGTAGCTGGACTGAAAGATTCTGTTGGAGATGTAGTGGGACATGAAGTCACCACCTATTCTTTTGTTGTAAAAAAAAAAGGGGGGGGGGGGGGGGGGGGAGGAATCTGGTGAGCAGAAAAGTGAAGGAAAGGCTGTGACATTCAACATCTAGCCACATAACAAGATGTTTGAGAAAAATGGCCGAAGGAAGGTGACTGAGTTAGTGATTGATTTGGTGCCTGGAACAGCACCAATATCATAACGCCCATGCAGAAAAGCTTCTATAGAACTATCAGAATTGAAGAGGTAGGAGCAAGAATTATTGGATAAAGGTTTTATTAGGATGTGTGTGTCTCCTTAGGGTGCTCTAGTGTCATTTGTGAAGAAAAAAGATGGTTCCCTAAGCCATTGTATAGTTTATAGGAAGTTGAATCAGGTAACAATTAAGACTAGGTACCTTTTACCTAGAATAGATGATCTTTTTGATCAATTAAAAGGTGCTAAAGTGTTTTAAAAAATTGACTTAAGGTCAAGACATTATCAATTGAGAATTAAGGATAAAGACATCATTAAGAGAACATTTAGAACTAGACATAGACATTTTAAGTTCCTTGTTATACCCTTTGGGTTAATAAATGCTCCAGCAGCATCTTTGGATCCCATACACAGAGTATTAGTACCATATCTAAATAAATTTGTTATAGTCTTTATAGATGAGATCCTAATATATTCTCTAGCTAAGCAAAGCCAGGAAAAACATTTAGCCTTTTTTGGCAATGGCTAAGGGAAAAAGAACAATATGCAAAATCAGATAAATGTGATTTCTGGTTAACTCAAATAGGTTTCTTAGTGCATACAGTTAATAGTGAGGGAATTTCTATTGACCCTCCCTATTAAGATTAAGGCTATATTGCATTGGAAGATACCCACTAATGTTTCTGAAGTTAGGAGTTTTCTAGGGTTAGCTAGTTACTACAGAAGGTTTGTTAAAGTATATTCCAAAATTTCTAGACCATTAACACAGCTAACCAAAAAGATTATAAGTTTGTTTGGGATACCAAATGTGAGGCAAGTTTTCAAGAGCTTAAGCATAGACTAGTGTCAACACCCATTTTTGCCTTACCTAGTAGAAAGGGGAAGTTTTTTGTTTATAAAGATGCTTCACTTAGAGGTTTGGCAGTGTGTGTTAATGTAGCAAGGAAAAGTAATTGCTTATGGAAGTAGACAATTGAAAATTTGTGAAAGGAATTAGCCAGTTCATGATTTAGAACTGGCAGCAATTGTTTTTGCACTCAAACTTTGGAGGCATTACCTTTATGGGGAAGAGTTTGAGATATTTACAAAACACAATACCTAAATTATCTCTTCTCCCCAAAAAAGGTTAAATTTCAGGCAGGGAAGATGGGTTGAGTATTTAAATGATTACAGTTGTAGATGTACCAATCTGGAAAAGTAAATGTGGTGACAGATGTTTATAAAATCTATTTCCATGGTTGCAATGTTCATTAAGAGTGGGAGTTGTTGGAAGGTTTAGAAATTTGAAAATTCAAATTACTAACCAACAGCCTGGGGTGTTGGTAGCTAGCATCAGTCTACAACCAGAATTATTTATGAAGATTAGAGAAACTCAACAAAAAGATTCCTTGTTACAAAGTGGATTAGTGGTGAGCAAAAGAAAAAAAAAAAAATTGAGCTGTAGATTTCATTTGATGGGATGAATAGAATGGGAAGTAAACTGTACATTTATGATGATATTGCGTTGAAAAAGGAATTGCTGCAAGAAGAAACACATAAGTCTATTATATATGTAAACCATTCATTCTGGTTGTACAAAAATGTACAACAACTTGAGAGGGAATTATTGGTGGCATGGAATGAAAATAGATGTTGTTGATTATGTAGCAAGATGTCTAACTTGTTAGTTAGTAAAGACAGAACACCAAAAGCCTGGTGGAGTGCTATAGCCTTTGCCCATATTAGAATGGAAGTGGGAAGATGTGACAATGGACTTTGTATTTGGACTACCTAAGACTAAGAGGTAGTCCATCATAATTTGGGTAATTGCGGACAGACTTACAAAATTTGCATATTTTATTCCAGTTTAAAGAAGCATGATTTGAACCAGTTAGATGTACTTTACGTCCAAGAAAAAGTTAGGATTCATGATGTACTTGTTAGAATCATTTCAAACAAGGACAAGAAGTTAACATCTAGATTCTGGAGGGGTTTACAAGAAGCCCTTGGTATTGAGTTAAGAATGAGTATATTGCCTCTCATCCACAAAGTGACGAGCAATTAGAAAGGACCATACAAGTCTGTAGGTCCGTGGGACATATGTTTAGAGCTTCTGCACTAGACATGCTAGACAATTTGGGGGAACACTTATACCTAGTGGAGTTTTCGTACAATAATAGCTACATGACAGCATAGGAATGACTCCATTTGAAACTCTGTATATGTGAGGAGATGTAGAACACCTCTATGTTGGTCTGAAGTTGGTGAGAGGAGGAAGATTGGACCAGAAATAGTACAAAGAACAACAGAGGAGATTAAATTAATTAATTTAGAAAAGATTGAGGGCAATACAGGATATGCAAAAGAAATATGTTAGAGTTAGAAGAAGACCCTTGGAATTTCAAGTTGGGGAAATAGTCTTCTTAAAAGATTCAACTATAAAAGGGGTGAGCAGGTTTGGTTTGAGGAGGAAATTGATTGAGTCGAAGGTATATTGTACCCTTTGAGATTCTGAAGAAAGTAGATGAAGTGGCAAAACAAACTTGCATTCCACCAAACCTCTCTAGAATTCACAAAGTATTTCGTGTTTCTCAACTTCTGTTCTTAATTGTCTGATTTCTAAAGTTTTAGGTAGTTAAGCAAAAACCAGAAATTTGATTTGTAGGTGGCATGGTAATTTTGAGAAACTTTACCAGATTTGGCATGTGAACTCAAGAACTCAGTTTTCCTTCTTCATTTTTCTGGTGACCAGACGAAAGGAAGAAGGGGAAAGAAGTAAATTTTATAGCCCAGAATCAGGAACAAAGTTAGGAAGGTTTTGCGAGGAGTTTTTGCAAGCTAAGGCTACATTAAGGTAAGTTTCAGTGTCTAGTTAACTCATTAGACTTAAGAAAACTGGAACTTTATGTTGCACTAAACCGCAAAAAAGTTTAAATGCAGAATTTAGAGACGTGCAATAGTATTTATCTGCATGCAAGATAGAAACGAAACTTACCTTTGATTTTTTTTATAACCCTTTGTTTGCCTGTGCTGGAACCTCGAGAAAGATGATTTTCTGGTTGAAAATCTGCAAGAAGTGAAAGTATGAAGCTATATTAGCTGTACAGTTACTTTATCTTGCTTATTTGTAGAATTTGTGAACTTAACTCTTTTTATTTTATTTTATTTTTTTAACAATATTGTAAGGATTGAATTCCAACTGTTATTCGAAAAAGAGAAATCCAGTTAAACATGATTTGACGTCACTAAATCTGAAAGCCTAAGTGCCTTGACCCTTTTTACTTGATTGAATAACTAAATGAGAATTTGCTTTGAGTTGGACTTTTCCTTAGAGAAAAAGTTATCTTCCTGAGTTGAATTTTTTTTTTTTGTTTAATGTCTTTATGCTATGAATTTTAATTGTGTATTATTTGAATTTTTATGTCCCATTTGTTATTTAATTTTATTAGATTTCTTATAATTAAATTATTTTGCAGTTGCCTCAAATTTTTTAAAATTTCTATTATACAACTATAAATTTAATATTTAAAAAAAAAAAAAAAAAACTGAAATGTAATGAGTAAAAAATTACCTATTACCTTGTAAATTACCCATCATCCATCTGTAGAGGGTAGGGTAAGCGTAAACTTTTATGGAGGTAAAGGGCCGGATAAACATAAAAGATTATCCAAAGGGTGTGGGTGACGATAAAGGACACACCTCCGAACTTAAATAAATTATCTGTTATCCAATACATTACCCAGCCCATTGTCATTCCTAATTTAGCTATAAAAGCTATAAAAGTTAAATGAAAGTCAGGCTTTAGTTGACAATGCTTCATATCTTGGTATAAAAATATAAAATATAAAATTTTAATTAATTTTAATATATTTTTATTAATTTTTAGTTAATACTTTATATATTTTGTGAATAGTATAAGATTAGAAAAAAAACATAAAGTTGTAATCTGACATCATACAATATTAATAAACGAAAATTTAGTAAAAGCAGTGCCTCTACATATATTAGCCTTATGCATTCAAAATAAATAAATTTTTTTAGATATACTAAACCTAATTTGTAAGATGACTCTTTTTTTATCTATAGATGGACTTGATTAAGTAATTGTGTGATAAAACATTAAACTGAATATTTGTCAACTTTATGTTGCACTTACATTAAGTCAAACATAAATCAAATTATACAATATAGTTAGTTGAAAGAAGAGAAAGTACCTAATTAAATTTTTAGCAAATTCTCCAAACGACTCAAAATGAAGAGAGAGAATGTGCTTCGCTTCACAGATATGCATGTACTGGTAGAAACAAAGAAATACAACAAAGTTAGAAGGCAGAAAAAATTACTTTAGGATTATAGTTTGAAGGAGAGGCGGGAGTATAATCCAAAGAAAACAGTTTACTACATACTAATGTTTAATTAAGGAATGAGTAGAGAAAAGTCAGAAAAGTATCAAAAACAATAAGCTGTCCAAAAAAGAAAAGTGAATGTGAAGAAACCATGCCTGGATTTGTAAGGTTGAATATGTAAAGCAGATTAAAAATACATATTCAAACATCTTAAATATCATTTAGATACAAAAAATTTTAATAAGTTAGGTCTGTCATTTTAAAAGTGAAATTGGGTATTCAATATCTATAGATATGATGGTTTGTAAACCCACATTGGATTTGATCAAATGAAAATATCCTCCAAATACCCATGTTTAAAAAGAAAAGAAAAGAAAAGAAAAATATGTGACGAACATTAGAATTATATATATATATATATACCTGCTGGCCTGAAACTTGTGTTTTTGTTGGCTTTTTTTTTTTTTCTCTGATTCGTTGGTTTTTTGAGACGATTGCAAATATGGAGAAGGTCTTAGCAAAATGGTGCAATCTGCAGAAAAGAAGACAATACGAGATGGTAAATGGAATGGTGTACTAAAATTTATAAGATGGTTGCTAGTTGCTAGAATCTCATTATAGAGTTGTCACTGAAAAAGAGAGAAGAAAAATACCTCAATATTTGGATCTATTTCTTGCGTCTGGGAAGTTAGAGAGGGTTGAGGGAGAGAACAGGATTGCAAGTGCATGATAAGAGAGAAGATGGATGGGTTGTTGGCTTAAATAGGGAGTTGTGGGGAATCACTTCATCCTTAATTAAGGCATAAAATAAAAAATGGAAACAGAGCAAGGGATCTCATTTTGTTTTCATTTCAACATCTTTATCCTTGCATTGCAAGCTATGGTAATCCCACTCTTTTCTTTCTTTTGTAGATAGAAAGATTTTAATGCTATCAATGGTGGCTATAGTTGGGAAATTGATATGCGCATAATTTTATCTTACTACAAATTATGGAGAATCACTTGGTCCTCAATTAAGAAATAAAAGATCGATTCAAGGCATAATTAAAGATGAAGGTAGAGCAAGAGATCTCATTTCATTTTCATCTCAGCATCTTTTTTCCTTGCTTTCCAAGCTATGGTAATATCACTCTTTTCTTTATTTTATAGATAGGAAGATTTCAATACTATCAATGGTGGCTATGACTAGGAAACTGATATGTGCATAATTTTATCTCACTATAAATTATGGGGAATTGCTTGGTCTTTAATTAAAGTATAACGAATTCAAGGCACAAAGGATTCAAGGCATAATTAATGATGAAGGCAAAGCAAGGGATCTCATTTCATTTTCATTTCAACATCTTTTTCCTTGCATTGCAAGCTATGGTAATCCCACTCTTTTCTTTCTTTTGTAGATAGGAAGATTTCAATGCCATCAACTGTTGCTACGATTAGCAAACTAATATGTGCATAATTTTATCTTACTATGAGTTATGGGGAAGGGATCTAATATGCACATAATTTTATCTAACTATGAGTTATGGAAATTCCTTAATTTTTAATTAAAACATAAAGGATTCAAGATATAATTAAAGATGAAAACAAAACAAGAAATCTCATTTCATTTTTATCAGTGTCCGACCTTGGGTACCCCACCCATGGGATAGTCCCCAAATCTTTCTCCTCACTAAGTCTTCAAGATTCCTCTGTTCTAGAAATTACTTAGAGCAAGAACAATCACAAATCTATGATTCTCATTGATCTTCCTCTCCAAATTCCACCGGTGATTGCTATATGTTCTTTGTATTTGGATGTTTGAACTGGATTCGTGTGAACTATTGATCCTGTGAATGGAAACACTGCATTTTTCTTTACGTTTTGTTCTGTTGTGATTGGAAGTAAGTAATATTTGCTCATCTTGAAGTATTTTTAGTTAAAATTAAAGGATCATTCGTTTAACCTGTTTTGACCCAATTGGATATGTGGATTATGTTTTTGGGCTTACCCTACCCGGTGAATAGATCAAAATCCTAAATTGGACCAAGAAAAGAAATGAATTGGGCCACAGCCAACAAAGACTGCAATAGTCTTGTGGGTTGGCCTAAAAAATTTTGATAATTAGTTTATCATGTTTATGGGTATTTCTAATATATGCTCTAAAGATATATATATATATATAGTAAAAATATTTTTATATCATAAATATATATAAAAAAATATAAAATTTAATATTAATTTTAGTGTAGATGTTAAGTAAATAAATTTAATGAAACAGTTAATAAATTAAAAATTAGTATTTATTTTTTAATACAAATTTAAGATACAAGTAAAAAAACTCTTAATTTATAAAATGATTGATTATATGAATTAATTTTAATGAAAAAAATATCTTGATATTTAAAATGTCAAGATGTCGATTTTTTTTTCCATAAGCCAAAAATTTTATTTCCTTGCTGCAAGGGGCACCCATAAACAAACCATAACTTACAATGATACAAATATTCCCAGTCAAGAAAACAGTACAAAACCACAAGCACAACCCAAAACAATTTGGAACTGCTTCCCAACTTGCATCCTTATTGCCTTTTTGGGATCATCCTTCCATAAATCCTGTTGCAAATGAGGGAGCAAATTTGCCTTTAACTAGTAGAAAGACCTATACTAATGAGCACCCATACCTCCTTTTCCTTGTCTTTCTCTTTCCCAAATATTTTCTGGTTCCTCCAAATCCATATAGTCCAAATAGTTGCAAACCATACCACCTTCCATGCTTCTCTTAGCTCCTTTTTATGAACAAGCCCCACATGTTGTTTAAAATGCCTTTGGACATCCGCTTGAGCGACTGAATAAATGCCCCACCCGGATAAGCAATAGGACCAGAGCTTCCAAGAGAGAGGGCATTTGAACAAATGAGACAAGGATTATTCTTCCATTGAACACAAACTGCATATAATATCCCTATTGTCCGTAATGACTCCTCTTTTAGCCAAGTTGGCATTCGTAGATAATCTCATCACAGCTATTAAATGTATAAAATAAAATATGAGTTTAAGTTTATCAAATTTATCATGTGAATATTATTGTACGTCGTGACATTAAACTCTAATTACATAAAAATATTATAATGCTCAATTTTTCCTTTTCCCTTAAGAGAAAATTCAAAGGTGCTGATATTAAAAATATTAATGACTTCCAATCACAAGAAAATCATAACATCCTAATATTAAAAGTAATTTAGAGAAAATATTTATTTCATTTAGGATGTATAATATTACATGCATTTATTCACGTATGTAAGTTATACAAAAAGGGGATAACTTTGGAATTGCATCAACCTCATTGTTATAGGTTGAGATTTCAAGTTTGAGATGGGCAAATAAGAAATTTGTAAGAGGGCAGGGCATATAACTCACTTGTTAGATTAGTTGTCTAAAAAAAACATGCACAACTTTACTGAAATCCAACCTGGATTGAATCTGGATTCCAATTCAATATTCATCTGTTCATGAAAAAAATCAAAGGCCTAAGGTAAATGTCACTGCAGATTTTCCAAGCAAATCAAAATCGATGTTTCCCCTGTTTTCCTCTGCTCCATCAAAATTGCTACAGGCAGTGTAGTATGTCCTCTGCTCTTTCATTATGCCTTCACTGACGCCCCTTTCTTCGAACCTTTCCTCACCATTTTCTTCAATTCAGCACAGAAATCTGTGATCTGACTCATAGTTTCTCGACCTGGAACGAGCTTGCGAGCTGAAAAAGTACTCCTCAAACCCGGCTTCCTATCAATCTTTCCCAGATTTTCCCCACAATCATCCATCTTCATCCCTATCTTCTTCTCTGTAGTTGATTTTGTTGATGGTTTCTTCAACTTTAATAGGGTTTTTTCTTTGACGGGTGGAGTGGATGATAAATTGGGATTCTTGTTCTCAATATCTTCACTGAAATTCCCAGCAGATTTTGGCACTTTCACCCCTTTTTTTGTCTTTGTTTCTCTGTACATGATAAAAATATTAAATTCAGATTAAACTAAAATCTTTTCATTCGATAATGTTTCTAATTTTTGGAGATTTTTTATGTAATTGCACGTACCTTCGAGTTATGTCTCGGAAAGGAAGAATCTCAGATATACTCAAAGATCTTAGTAGCTTCCCCTGCAAAGAGGAAACAGAGTCAGAAAACATTCATAAAACACAAATTCAAGCACATAATCAAAATGGAAAATTTTATGCATTTTTGTGAAATTTGTAACCTTTTGATTCTGCTTTAATCTGTGAAAATCTTCCACGGACTTCGGATGCTTGCAACCTGCATCAATTTCAAAAATTTCTGTATCATTCCTTCTCCAGTGTTTTCTCAGCAAACAAACAGGTTGCAAAGAAAGACATTCTCATTGCTCTAAGGAAACTAAAATCTGGGGTTTTTATTTCGTTTCTAACTACTTTCTTTCCCATCATTTCCCGGAAACCAAACAGGGAAAGAAATTGTGCCATACCGGATTTGCAGAACCAGGCTTCATTATCTACACATTCACACGGAGCAGAGAGATCGACCCATTTAGGCGCATTGATATTCTCATATGCATCGTCTTCTTCGAACACAGATTCGATGTTGTTCCAGTCTATGTCTTCCGATTCCATTATCTCTCCACCCACAGAGAAAAGGAAAAAAAAAAAACAGAAAAAGAAATCGTGTTAGAAAATGCGAGATTAAGAAAACGAGATCAACAACAGAGAAATTGAGATGGGTTTGGTCTCGTTCTGAGATTTCTGGAAGCTCAGCGACAGATCTCGTTAGATTGTTGTGACATTAAGCTCAGGAAAGAGTCGGCGAGAAAGTGAGGGTTTTTATGGCGGAAAGATGAAGAGAGAGAGAGTGCTCCGGCGAGTTTGTAACGGCAGGGGAGATTGAAGAGGCGGCCCAGGGAAACAGCTGGAGTTTTAAGACTTGTTTTCGACCGTTGGAAGACGTCCGTTTGTATTTTTATTTTTATTTTTTAAATTTATTTAGTAGTGCGAAAGGAAAAGGGGGCAGGAAAAGAATCAAAATTAGCCCTCTAACTTGTTTGTGATTGTCAATTAAGTTCTCAATGTTTTTTCCATTGTTGATTGGGCTTTTGTGGTTCTTGGAAGATCGGTTAAAGGCCAAAATGAATGGAAACTACTACTTTAAAAAGTGAAAATCCTTTATGTTGTAAGTTAAAATTGATTAAATAGCCTAAAACTAATAGCTATAAATTATTAATCTAACGTATATAAAGAATATAAAAAATCATGGACAGTTGATAATTATTTAAGTAAAATTGAGAGATCAAGAATTTGCTTCTAATGGTTAAAAGTTTCAAACTCTAAATTGAAGATCTTAAACTCAAACCTTAAAGATGAGTGGGAGGAAAATGGAATAGGAGAACTCGTTCTTATCATATAGTCCATTATCTTATGTACTCAACAAATAAAAAAGAAAAAAAGAGAGAACAAAGAAATCATGAGTTCAGATCATAAGCACACAAGGCAGCTAAAAAGGATGGAAGTGAGTTTTGCCTCCTTAAACAATTCAAAATCATATATATATATATATATATATAATAGATATATATACATATATCTCAAAGAGAACCAAATATATTATAGCACTATTGGTGCTTATGCAAGATCATCTTACTGTTAGCGCTTCATCTTGATAACAAAAGGTAACTAATTCCTACAATCTAGATTCTAGACAAGAAAAAAAAAAAAGAGAGAGAGAGAGGAAATATTATACAACCCATTTAAAAAAATAACAACTTCATTCTAAAATAATAACACTAAATTCTTAATTTGAAGAGAAAATAAAAAAATATCTATTACTCTAAAATAGAAGAAAGAGGACAATGAAGTCAAGAAGTAACAAGGCAATGACCTTGGAAAAGAAGGAAAAAGAAAAGAGCTTGATTGATAATTAAAAACAAATTTGAGGACTAATTTTGAAACTTGTCCTAAAGAAACATACCAATTTACCAGATGAAGACTTTTATTTTTTATTTTTGGTATTTAGTTATAAAAAAAGTACATATCAACCTTAACTCTCAAAATAAATTAAAATTCTAACCTTAAACTACATCTTTTACTTAATTAAAATTCAATTTAAAATTTAAAAATATATTTTATTAAATATTAATATTTAGATTTAAAAACTAATTATATTGAAATATAATTAATTTTCAAATTTAGATATAAATATTTAATAAAATATATTTTTAA